CCCTCCCCCCTTCGAAAAAAAAAGCAAACAACAAAAAAACACTTACTTGGCGGTTTGTAGCTGTGACATGCTCAGACGGTATCCGAATTTCCAGAGTGGGACCATTACTAGAGCTTTCAACATTTTTGTCCATTTGAGATGACTCATATTCCTCCCACAACTTTATTAGTTCTTGCATGCTTTCACCAACTTTATAAATAACAGAAGAAACTTCTGCTTTACCTGAAATATCAGAAATTATATATAGTGGATGTGCAAAGTAAAGGGTAGCAAAAATATTAAGCTCTAATTTTCTCATTCATTTGAAAAGTAGTACTAACCAAGTACCAACAATAGATTTACAAATGATAATGTGACCACATTAAGAAGGAAGCGTAAATGAGATGCATAAATATGAAAGAAGAGAATAAATCATAAAATGTAAAGCATCGGGTTAATGATAACAATCTCTGTTAAAACCTGCATTACTTCATGAAGGTACAAATTCAGTAGTCCATTAAATCAAGCCAATGAAACAAAATGACAGCATACCTTGAGACCTGCAAAATATACAGCCATATATAATTGTTAAAAAAATATATAATATGAAGGACGATAACTAAAAACACCATAAAAGTAGGATTCAATCAATCGAGACAAAGGCACTTCTATTCTATCAAATGGAATTGTGAAGCTTCAAGTTTTATAACTGAAACAAATGGTATAAATTAAAATGAACAGATGCTTCAAAAGATACTCTCTAGATCACCAAATTTGGAAACAATGAAAAATTCATGAAAGGTAGAGGAAGAAAGTACCTTTCATTGTCTTGGGCACGGGATTTGAAACGAGGCTCCCGGTTTGGCACCTGAGGGCTCCCCCTAGATCGTTGTATCCTCTTACGATGCTGACTGCTATAATTATGGGCCTCCCTCTCCTTCTCCGTGGCCCCTTCTCCATCTACACAACCATCATTTGATTCCTTGTCAAAGGACCTACCATGCTTATCAGACCTATCTCCTTCTAAATCAGCATCCCTTTCTTTTCTCCTCTCTCTAGCTTCTCTATCTGCATTTTTCCAGCTATCAACATCTTTTTGTTTCTTCTGCTCTGGTAACACAACATCTTGTTCAGGAAGTTTAGCTGATCCATCAACAGGTTCCTTCTCATTGTTTGAAACCTCTTTCTCCATTGCATTCCATGATTCCCTCTTCATCAGATCCTTTTCCCTCTCTTTTAAATTTTCTTTCTCTTTTGGAAGATCTTTTTTCTCCCTCTCCAACCTTTCTACATCTCTATCTTCCTTGGCAAATTCTTTGCAGTCACCACTACTATTGTTAACTTGTGTACTATTTCTACGATCACTTCTTTCCCTTTCCCTATCTCCCCAGTCCCGATGCTTCACATCCTTCCTCTTTCTATCTTTCTCTTTGGATCTATCATCACCTTTAGGATCAACTTTGTTCTCCCCAACAGCTTCATGAGCTTCAACATAGTCCCTTACTTCTGCTGTTGAACTCTCCTTCCCAACCTCAACTGAGCCTTGTGTATTTGCACGTAACATATGCCATGTGTCTAAACTCCCACTAGGGGCATCAGAATATCTTTTTCCTCTATGGTACTCTTTTGAATCTTTCCAATTCAAGTGGCTGCTTACCACATTATAACCATCTTTCTCGGTCTTGTTGTCCCCTTTTGAATCATTATGACTATCCCGATCATGCCTCACATCCTTGTTGTCATCTCCTCTACCTTCTACACGCACATCCTTTTCGCTCTTAGCACTTGGAGGATCCCTTCTTGCTTCACCATACAACTCCTTCTTCTCTGTCTTTGTATCACGAGTCTCAAACCGGAGATCTCTACTGTCCTTGGAATCCCTTGATTCTATCCTGTTCTCAGAACCAATAGGATGATCTGCATGAGAATCATTCATAGACGATGACATCCGATACACTGGATGAAGAGGAGACCTTCTATCAGCATCGCGAAATTCAGTTCGGGGTGCTTTTGCCACTCGGGCATCCTGACTTATATCATAGGGCATATGGTACTCATTTGAGACTGACGATGAAACCAACTTGGAATATGTACCCGAATCTTCATGTGGGTGTTTTGAAGATGAATGAACAGACTCCTCATGAGATCTCTTGGGTGCACCACTCATGATGAGCAGCCAACACAATCATAAAACTCAAGGAACTCTGGCAACCTAAAGACTCCCTACCTCCGAAGCCTGTTTGTTATCCGAAATTCAGTAACTGCAAGGCAGCAAAAAAAAGGTTTAGGAAACTACACAAGACCACAACAACTTTCACAAGCATTCAAAATCGTTGCAGAATAAATGCATCACCAACATGAAGCACATAACAACAGCGTTCAAAGACGAAACGAAGACAAGGAGATGGTAATTGATGCAGCAACGACCTCGATATCATCAGCACCAAATAAAATTAACAGCGTAGAAAAGCAAATAGAAAATCCAATTTGAAAATTTTGAATTGCTTCAGAGGAGACCGCAGTTACATACATAGAGTTAAAGTCAAGTTACATGCATCGCCATGATAAGTGCGTGAACTAAGCAAAAGAAGAAGTGTGGAATAACAATGAACAATGAGTGAAAGCTAAAAACGTAGCAGTAACAGATCTAAAAAATAATTAAATATAAGTAAAGCATAGACAAAGAAAGACGCAAGCAGGCCAATGAGAAAAAGGTGAAACCCAATTGAACGTCATATGAAAAAGGCGAGTAATGCAATGAAGATGGAAAAATGAAACAGCCCTACTCGTAGTGGTAACGTTACTCGGAACAGAAAGAGAGGAATGCGAAAAGAGTGATCGAAGGAAGAATTGTGAAATTGGGAAAGAAAACCCTAGAAATTGCGCTTTGTTTCACCTTAGGCGCGGGACATTGGGGGGTGAGACCCTCTTTCTTTGTTCTGTTTGTGCTACCTTCTGTTGTGTGTTTGATGATGTTTCAAAGTGCTTCAGAGTGGAGACTCTCTCGCTGTCGTTTAAACATTAAACATTAAACATTAATTTACTCTCATTTATTTATAATTATAAAATATTATTGTTGTGTATTGTGGACATTTCACCCGCAGGTTACACAAACACACAGGCCACATCATGGCACCACCACTTACCAAGTTGTTCAAGCCAACTGTTTGTAAAGCTCAGTAAATGATTCAAATCAAAAGTTTAAAATTTGCATATCTCTTGTATGTTTATTATGGTAATGTTATTGAAATACACATTGAAACTTTGTTCTATTAGTTTGACTTCAATTGTTCCAGATTATGTTGAGTTGTTAGCATCAGGAAAAACAGTTACGAGTTTTGTTTTCATGGATTTTACCATTAGAATTTTACGTTTATATATTGTCCTAAAACCTTTATATTGAGACATTCATTATATTTAGTTTTAGAAAAATGATAGTAACACTTTTTCTAACACTCCTGTTAATACTTTTTTTTAATTATTGGTTGAAAAAATTAAATTTTAGTGTGTCCTAATATTCTACCAATAAATCATGAGATAGATTTATTAAATGTGACTACACACCACAAAATTTATAATTTTTAATAAATTTTAAACAATAATAAAGGGCATTAGAAAATGAGTGTTTGAAAAAATGTCACTAATCTCTTTATTTTAAGAATTTTGTATGATATTTAAAATATCTCAATTTTAAGTTGTGTTCACATATTTTTACACCTCTTTTCTTTAACTTTACTTCATTGTTCAACTTCTCCCATGTAACTTTATTTTATTTCTTTAACTATAGGAATTGTGATGATAAAAAAAGTTCGAATTTAAGAACTTGTGTATATTGTTTCAACTTGTCATCACTAGATTGACGCTAATAGTTTTTTTATTTTTATTTAAAAGAATATATATAAAATTCATGATATTAAAAACATATGTTTTAAATATGTATAAATGAGTTGAACTTGACAACATGCCAACATATTTAAACTTTCAAAATGTGTTACGTTTATTTGGGTAATTTGATTCAACTCATATAACTCGTTAATTCACGATGATAATATGTTGGATTAGATTGACTTGTCAAGTTGATTTTTTTTTTTAAATTATTTGATTAAATATTTCTTTTGGTAAGTATAATATATTTTTTTTTTTGGAATTATTAAGTACTATTTCATATTATTTTGTTGTTTTTAATTACATTTATTTAGCCCATGAATTTTTTTTTATAGAGCATCTATGCCAACAATTTTACGGGACAACATCCTTTGTGATTGTAACCTTATTTTTATGTTCGGACAGTTTGTATTTTTATTTATTTATTAGTAAGTTAAATTATGAGTCAAGCATGTTTTTTATAATAATTTTGACGAGCCAAACAAACCATAACCCATCAAAGTTGGGCTTTTACTTCCTACACCTCGATCAACTGTTTCCGGCACCTTATACCCCTAAAAACCTATTATCTTTATCTTCCCAAATGTAAAAATATGTTCCGAAAAATTTAATATATGATATATTAAAAAATTATTCTGAAACACTCATTTAAAATTTTAAAATCTAATATTTTAGTCTGTGTATTACACAAATCAAATGTTTATTACATATAATTAAATTTTATAAAAAATTATTATAATAGTATTATATTTAAATATATAAATTATATATTATTTTTTTAAAAAATATATTAATTATATTTAAAGTTTATATAAATAAATATTTTTAAACATATAAATTATAACCTAATTTTATAATAAATAATTTATATTATGCTAGAAAAATATTATTAATTTAATAATTTATTTTTAAAAATATTAAAGTTTAACTTATATAAATATGATAAATAAAATTTAAAAATAGATGAAAATAAAAAAAATTCTATCGAAAAAAAGCACTTATCACGCAATGTAACTATATGTGAAAACCTAACACAACACTCGATCCGAAGCGTTAAATATGTGATCCGATCCTTATTGGGCCATTAAGATTTTGAATTTTTCAACATCAAAAGCCCAAACCCAGAATGGCAGAAACTGCACTGCAACATTTTTGGTGGCAATTCTAAAACCCTTCCCAAGGCTCCCACAACACTCCTTCCCCCTACCTATGGCTTCCAGGTACGCTATAATCCTCACTCTCTATCTTCATCTCCTTCCTTTTCATGGAAAACCGAACGAAAAAAACCCAAAGGGCATGCCAAAAATCGAGTCTTTCACCCTCTCTCCCATTAAAAACATTAACTTTCCGTCTCTGAGCAACTCGCTTCTCTCTTTCTCTACACAGGCGCATGAGGGCATTCAAGCGGTGGATGAAGTCCAAAGGTTTCCAATGGTGCGATGCACTTGAGTTTGTGGACACTCCAGAAGAGGGAATAAAGGTGAGAGCTTTGTGTGAGTTGAAGGAAGGTGATGTTGTGGCCAAGATGCCAAAGGAAGCTTGCCTCACCACCAAGACTAGTGGGGCACGTGAGATCATTGAAGAGGCTGGTTTGGATGGCCATTTGGGGCTAGCATTTGCCATCATGTATGAGAGAAGCTTGAGTGGAGACTCCCCTTGGGCTGGCTACCTTCAACTCTTGCCTTTCCAAGAGTGTGTGCCAATTTGTTGGACCCTTGATGAAGTAGATGAGCTTTTGTGCGGCACTGAGCTTCACCAGGTATAGCTTGTATTGTTCAGCTTAATTAATCATGAGGGGTGGATTAAAAATTTAAAATTGACCATATATAACTGTGGCAATGCGTGCTTGTGCTTTTTGATTGTTAATTCTTGTTTGCTCCAATGTACTTGTGTGGACATGGCTTGATTGGATTTTCGCTTTTTAGATTGTCTTTCAAGTATAGTTAATAGAGCTCTTTGTGAATGCCTTGATTTTCTTTTGACTTATGCATTGTAGAATCTCATTGCAATCTTCATATTCGGAATTATGTCATGGGATGGGTTCATTAAAGTAATTTTCACATTATATCCAGTGAAAGGGAGTTTAAACGTTGAAGAAGAGAAAAGGATGCATATTAATTAGTTTATATTGCTGATTGCTTAGTGAAATATGAACTTATGACGGAAATGAACTGAAAGAATATCTGAGAAATTGTGAATGGCACTGCATTGAAAACTTCTAAGATAATTTATAACTGTTCTTTTAGTACTTGGCTTAAAACCTGTGTTTTGAAAATTGAAATGCAAAACTATATGCTTTACCTTTCATGAAAATTTTCTGATCTCTTACAATTTTAGGCAGACAGTTCAAGAAGACAAGGCTCTTATCTATGAGGACTGGAAGGAGAATATTCTTCCCCTATTGGAGGTAGCACCTTCTAAACTAAACCCAAAATTCTTTGGTATAGAACAATACTTTGCAGCGAAAAGTCTTATATCTTCACGATCTTTTGAGATTGATGATTACCATGGTTTTGGCATGGTTCCCCTGGCAGATCTGTAAGTAAAGCTTCTGGTCGTTAATATGGTTTTATTATCTAGTCTTATAGTACACCTTTATTTGCCATTTATTACCTTTTAACTTTGCCCCATCTCAGATGTGTAAGTGGTTTTAAGGATGCATGTAATTCTTCAATCTCATTTGAGAGATGAGGTCAACTTTAAAGCCTTTTCAAGTTTAGTAGATGCTAAGAAATTTATTCTATTTAGAAAATAATGCCTATTTGTATACTATTCAAGAACCGCTATAGTGCATCCATATGTTGTGATGTTTACAATTTAAATAAAGAGCAATACGTTAATAACAAAACTTTCCAAAGAGACCGCATAAAGTAATTTTTGTGCTAGAAATCACAAATACAACACATGATACATATATGAGTACTTTTAAAAATAGCTGGACACAACACGACTATAATACAATATATACAATTAGCATAAAGTACAAGTTTAATTCAAAAGATAGAATCATAGAATTTATGTTTTATTTTTAAATGAAACATTGTATACATATAAGACTTTTGTTCTTGTTGTCATCTAATCATTGTGATAAAAGTAAAAAAAAAAATGTATGAAGTTAGAGTATTTGAAGTGACCATGTCTGACATGGTACAACTGTAATTTTGAAGAGTCTGTGCTTCCTTGTTTATGTATAAGATCCACATCTGAAGATTTTCCTATTCTAATAAATAATGTCTATGCTGTCTTTTGCTCTAGATTCAATCATAAAACAGGTGCAGAGGATGTGCATTTCACTGCTATGTCCTCTAATTACGAATCTGATACTGATGTTGATGGTTGTAACAATGATGAAGGCATTGTTGAGGAAGAAGCATTGGCTCAAAATTCCTCTATAGATATGACTGTGTTAAATACTGCTAATGTTGAGAACTGTGTTGTTAGTGACATAGAGAGTTCTTTAGTCAGTGAGGGTGATACTTCTATGCTGGAGATGATTATGATAAAAAATGTCAGCGGTGGGGTTGAGGTGAGAATTTTCCTTTCAGTTATGTGACTTTCTTAACTTCCATGGATAAGTGATTAGTCTTGCTTAATTAGAAAATTGAACCTCAGAGTAACATATGCTCATTTGTCATTCATACTTTTGAAAATTTGTTTTCTTATTGCAATTTGAAACGTTCAATGATCTCCAATGTCATGACTATGCTGCTCTTATTCTTCACTTGAAGGTACTTTAATACTTAAAAGTTCCTCTTGCCTAACAGGTATTTAATACTTATGGGCTATTGGGTAATGCTGCTTTGCTTCACAGATATGGATTTACTGAGCAAGATAATTCCTATGATATAGTAAACATAGACATGGAACTGGTAATTCAATGGTGTTCTACCGCGTTCTCTGACCGGCACTGTAGAGCAAGAGTCTCCCTTTGGAGAAGGTTAGGCTATTCTGCCTGTGGAATCCAAAACTCTGAATATTTTGAGATCTCATTTGATGGGGAGCCACAAATTGAACTCCTCAATTTATTACAGATCATGTTATTACCAGATACTGCTTACCATAGGTTAGACCTATCGGTATCAGTTTCTGGAAATTGTCATGAATCAAATGGAGCCAGTACCACCCTTCTGAATGACAATATAATTCCTAATAAAGCCTTTGATATGAGCAAGAAATCTTTGCTGCCTAAAAATGTTTGTGGTGCCCTGTTGTCACTTGCTGATATGAGGGAGAGTCTCTATGGTTCAAAATCAATTGAAGATGATATTGAGGCATTGGGAAGGTGTAGTTTAGTTAGAGAGAAAAAGCTGTACCATTCTTTGATGCTGCGGATCAATGAAAGGAAGGTCCTTCAAAAGCTCAGAAATTATGCTTCACAGCCTTTTAAAGTCACTAACCAGAGTTTACCGAGGAAGAAGTTGAAAAGGACAACAAAGAAATCGAGTTGATTTTTTCTTTTATTTTTATTTTTAGTTTTTGTTTTATTTATTTATTTCCATGAGATGCTTTAACTTATGTTTTGATGCACCAAGTCATTGGCCTATGCAAAGAAGCTAAGCCGCCTCTGGTTTTTGTTTGGCATTCAGCAATAACAATTCATGTATCGTTTAACTTCCATTAGTTATGGTTTTTTTATCCACTGGTCTTCATATTCCTTGCATGCTCTTATGTTGATATATTTCCTCTTTGGTATCATTGATTTGACTATTTGAGTAAATCCTTATGTGGGAGATAACAAAAGAAGTGAATATATAACGAGTTTGAATAATGTAAGAATCAAATTGAAATGTAATTTAAATGAACACTGATCTCGCTGAAATTGTTCTCAGTGTACACTAAAATAGTTGTATGAGATTATTTTATCGGCATATTGTAGTATGTTTAGTAGATAACTTTTTTCCTTTAATGTGATTAGAGATTTGATTTTCAAGTTTGTCGTGTAAGATTTTTTTAGTACTTTAAAGAATTAGTCTCAATTGGAGAGTGAAAAATACCCTGAATTAAAAAAGAAGTAAAAAGGAACGATGTTGCTTAGTCTCTTCCCTCTCTCGGTAGGCTATTCCTTATGAAGTAATAAATGACGGTTTGAATTTTTATTAGTTTAGATTAGATGTTATTTTAGATATATAATTGTTTATTTTTTATATTTTATAAATTGAAAACAATTATTTTCCAAAATAATCATTGCCAAACACCTCACTTATTCTTAAAATTTAAAATATTAGTTCTTAATTATGTGCTATAAAATAGCATGAATATTAAAGTATACTTTTATATTTAATTTGAATTTGTTACGCTGTTGATCAGATAGAAGGTATAATAAAGTCATGAATTTATTTAGTCAGCGTATTTTTTTAATACAAAAAATATAAGAAGAAGAAATTCTCCTTCTCATGACTTCTTCATTTTCAACAAAGGAATGCAAGCAAAACCTCTGGCTCATTGGATTCAGATGTCAACAAAAACAGCCTCAGCATACGAGTGCATTCGTAAGAATTCAATTGCATGGTTTATTTATTTTTGTTAGTAAGGCATTGAGATTGAATTCAGTTTTTCTTGATTTTACATAATAAACTTGTCGTAATCTAAATTCTTTTATTTATTCAAAAATAAAAAGGTAAGAAAAGGACATTATGAACGTCACCCATGACCTAACGCAACAGAATCTAATCCCATGAATTTGCTATTCTTCTGAATATTGGACTTGAACAATGAGAATAGCCAATAGAAGAAAAAGAAGGAATCAAAAAATCCAGCGGTGAACTGAAATGTCAACAACTTTGACGCGTAAGCCATATAGTTTCTAACCATGTTAATTTCATATATAAATGAATGGTACCACATATATTAAGATGTGGTAATAACAGGAACAAAAAAGAATTGTGAATTGTGTTGCCAAGAAAAGTGAAGATGGCATTGAAGGAGACATTTTACTTATCACATGGATCACCATCACTTGCCATAGATGATTCAATTCCAGCATGGAGCTTCTTCAAATCGTGGAAGGAGGTGTTTCCTCAGAAACCCTCTTCCATTCTCGTCATCTCCGGTCACTGGGACACCGCTGTTCCCACCGTCAACGTTGTTCATCATAACGACACCATCTATGACTTCTACGGTTTCCCCAAAGTCATGTACAAGGTTCCTACTTTTGCACTTCCTAAATTACATTTATACCCCACCCTTGATTTATTTATAGATTATCAATGACAGATAATGCGATGTGAAATCAATAAAAAACTATCTACATGCTTGGATTAGATTCTGCGAACTTTATTTTACTGAAGGTATTTGCAGTAATTGAATTGTTATCCAGTATTTGACCATTGCAGTATTTTACTTATTTCGTTTGGTGGATCATGGTTAATTTACAAATTTCTTTTAATCAATTTGACAATCAATGACTTAGATGTTATATTTTTGAATTGTTATCCAGTGCAAGCTTATGCCCCTTTAACTTGAAAAACAAAAAATCAAAAAGCCAAAACTTAGTTCCAGTAACAAAGGTTCTATTGGAGTTTCACGTCTATAATATATATAAAAATATAATATCGATTCAACTCTTATAATCGGGTCCAAAATCAAATTGTATGCCCTTCAATTTGTACCCCTTTTTTAATCACCAATCATCAAAGAGCAATGATTCATTTTTCTAGGTATCTCTTTGATTAACTTGTTCCATTTGCTGGCAGCTGAAGTATCCAGCACCAGGGGCTCCACACGTGGCAACGAGGGTGAAGGAACTACTACAAGCATCAGGCTTCACTCGTGTGGATGAAGATAGAAAACGTGGGCTAGACCATGGTGCATGGGTGCCTCTGATGTTGATGTATCCAGAGGCAGATATCCCAGTGTGTCAACTCTCAGTTTCATCACACAGAGATGGCACTTACCACTATAACATGGGAAAGGCATTGGCTCCTCTTAAGGATGAGGGTGTTCTTATAATTGGCTCAGGGAGTGCTGTCCATAACTTGAGAGCAATTGGGCCTCGCAATAGCCCTGCTGCTCCATGGGCTGTGGCATTTGATTCCTGGCTGAAAAACTCTCTCATTGATGGAAGGTACATGTTGCCTCTTTCTTTTCTTCCCCATATCATTTTCATATGCTAAGATTGTAACCACTAGAGATGGTCTAGTGGTAGAGTGTTGGAATAATAGTACAAGATCTTAGGTTGATCTCTTTTGCTGCCATTGTAATTCCTACTTATAAAAAAGAAACATGCTAAGCTTAACAGTTAACATTGCAACTTTGCAAGTATTATTCATATGAAGTGGAATGATAGTAAAACGTTTTTTTTAACACATTCATTATTATTGATTTAAAATTTAAACTGACAGCAGCACTTTTCATGTTATACGTCTTCTGATACTAATGTTTATGTATGGCTCTTGTAGGTATGAGGAAGTAAATCAATTCGAAGAGAAGGCCCCATATGCAAAGTTGGCTCATCCATGGCCTGATCACTTCTTCCCATTGCATGTGGCTATGGGGGCAGCTGGTGAAAACTCAAAGGCCAAACTTGTCCATGATAGTTGGGATGGTGGTTCTATTTCTTATGCCTCGTTTGGTTTCACAGCAGCTACTAGTTGATGCATTATGTATCTTGGTTTCATCTATTCAGATAAAATTACTCGTGCTGTGCATGAGCCTTTACTAATTATTTGTTGTAAATTTTCCTCTTTTGTCATTCATAGTTGATAACTTAGTTTTAATTGTGGATCCAAATTGACACTATTAGCCTACTATGAAATTGCAGTTTAAATGGAATAATAAAGCAGGAAGAAACTATTACAGAGCTTTATGATTCCTATATCGTGTATTTGAAGGACTATCTCTTCTCAGAATATTACTTATTTAAAGCAAATCAGGAATTTTGTGGTTGCCTAACACTCATTTCTTTGATGATTTTTCAACTGGTGCTGTAGCCTGTAGATTATATAAAATTCAAGTATGTTATTGATTTAAGTGATGTACTAAAAGAAAATGTTTTTTTTTTCTTCTTTTTTTCAGAAAGCTTAATACAAACCTTAAACGAATGGCCTTTAATCATCGTTATTAAATCTTAGAAGAGGAGACAAGCATTGATGGTGAATATTGAAATCTGAAACCTAAAGCGCTCCCACAAAAAGACTGATCAAGTACTGGGAAAAACCTCAAGCCATTAACACAACTACAATGCCCAAAAGCTCAGGAGAAAATTTAGTAGTGTATGAATCTTGCACAATGAAAAATTTTCGATTGATAATTAACACCACACATTTTAGAAAGTAAAAGGTAGGGAGAAAATTCACCTACCCACATTACATGATAATTTGGTAGTTATTTGTTGTAATATAGTTTACACGTATGCATGAAGTGTGTAGATAAGCTTGGAGCAGGAGGGCTTGGAAGACACCATTGCTGGCAATCACAAAATAGGTCATTTCACAAAAATAGGTTACTTTTATTGTTCATAATTCTGTTTTTCATAATAACTTAAATTTAAGAAATCTTGTCATGCCTTCCAATGATGTCCACACGATTTATTTTATTATTGATTGAAGATGCAAGTTTTTTATTTTTTTTTTCCACCATGGCGCTTGATAAATAGTTTGACTAACATGATTCAAATAATTACTGAGTTTAATCAAATAAAAAAGAATTGTTGCTTCATTATCCCGGTCGCATTCCATATAAGTATTATTGCAATTTTTTTAATTTTTTAAAAACAAATAGGATTCATCAAGAGTTTGCTAAAGTGGATCACCAATTAAATTAGGTTTATGCTAACTTTAATAATAAAAAAAGGCCCAATATATTAGTTGTATTTGCATCTGGTGTAGTGATTAGTGACTTTTGGTATGAGAGATAAACCTTTTTAAAGAAGGAGAAATCAGAGAATAGTGTATATATTTGTGTGCATTGTGCCTCTTTGTGGAACAGAGATAAGAAGAATAATTCTGTAAGGAGTACAACAACCAACTTAGAGAAGAAGTATTTGATACTAATTTTAATGTATTTTGGTTCTCTCTATTGTTTGGTTAGATACTCATTTGGAGATTTTCTTGTATTGTTATCCATCATATTGGCGATGAACTATTTCTAGCAATTTCCGATGGATCTAAAAAGACTTGTGGTATACCCATTAATTATTATTTGTGAAATTTTATTGGACTTACATTGTTTTATGTTAAAATTTGGTGTCTGTTGATTTATATTTTTTTTTATGCATCCTATTATATGTTTAAAATTACCTTGTTGCTCTGAAGTTTATTTTTATTTATACACAAGAAAAGGAAATCCAATTTTACTACTGTTTAATTGTTATTATTTGTTATCTTTCCTCAACACTAATTAAAAAATGAAAGTATTAAGTAGAATGATGTATTTAAAAGTGATTTTACTAAGCTAAAATTGATGTCCAAAGAAATGATAATCAATCTCAGCATACTTAATATATTCATGAAAAGACCAAGTTGTATGTTATCAAGATATACAGGAGTTGAGCTAGAAAAAAAAATGTCAATGCAACCAAATAACTTTTACAATGACTTGTTTTTTACTCTATTAAGAAATTAGATAACCTCCTTAATAAAAATGCAAAATCATGTCATAGACCACTCATATTATCATCTAAGTAGACACACAAATTTATAGGAAAAAGATTCAGGAAAGAGAAAAATTTAAAATTGAGTGCTCCAAAGAAAACAAAAGATGCAAAGAATGGATAATTTGTATTGAAGAAATAAGAATATAGATAACAACATGCACTACAATAGCAATACGTTTCGATAAAATTTATTATTATGAGGATAAATTAATTATCTTTATTTTATTATGTAATAAAAATATTAATGACTAATATATAATAGTCACTAAAAATGTATTTATATCACACTAAAATTTATTATTATGAGGATAAATTAATTATCTTTATTTTATTATGTAATAAAAATATTAATGACTAATATATAATAGTCACTAAAAATGTATTTATATCACACTAAAATTTATTATTAACAATAATTATTTATTGGGAAAAATTTAAGTTCCACATTAATTAAAGATAAGATAATTAAAGAGTATATAAGTGAATAATAACTTTTACCTTACAAGTTTGTTTTGTAGGATTGAGTTAGACCTATAGCTCACTATTCTAAGTTGGTATTAGATTACTCACCTTTACCAAATTCAATAGTCCTAAACTTGTTTCACACCTCTTAGGAGATAAGAAAATTAAAGAATATATAAGTAGAGGATAACTCTCATCTTACAAGTCCCACATCGACTAGAGATAAGGTAATTAAAGAATATTATGAATCATTTCTTAAAGTTTTAGTGGAAATAACAAAAAATATTAAATGACAGTAAAAAATGTCACAAGAACTTATACATTTTTTCTCAACCAATATAAAAGTTTTTACCAGCATGCAAAATAATTATTGATAAATATTTTAGCGACACTGCATATAATGATTAATATGGAAATGCTGGTAAAAGATTTTACAATAATTTTTATTATCACTAAAAATTATATTAAATACTATTAAAAGTCCATTTTATTGTAATAATATTAGGTCCAACAATAGGCAACAATAGGATACATCAAACTAGCATTATACGATAGAAAGTGAGATTTGGCAAAAGAATACCATTATGAAATATATATAGGACATTAAGAATATCTTGGTGTAAATTATATGTAGCAACCTCGGTCGCGACGGGACGGCGAAAAATAAATTGAAAAAGGGGAGTCGCCACCAATGTTATTTTTTACGGAAAAATATTGGAAAAACCATAAAATAGAAAATAGTCTGCGAAAACCAAATTTTTGAGTTCGGGAGTCGATTACGTATGAGGAAGGTATTAGCACCTCACAACGTTCGTCCTAAGACGATTACCTTTAATTAATTAAACTAATTATTTATAATTTATAAAATATTTATCTCACTAAAATTATCAAATATGTTTTATTTAACTAATTTAAATTATGCATTGAAAAAAAGGTTAAAATTATTATTGTTATATAAAAAGGAGGATAATATATTTTTTATTTTTTTGGCTCGACAAGATTTAGTTCTTGCTCCTACGTATCTTCATGTGTAATGAAGAATCAGAGTCACGTAGTTCTTTGTAAAAAATATTTGTGTGTTGATATTTTTTAATTAAATTTTATTTTTGTTAAATATAAGATTCTTGAACTGTCTCAGCTCATTCATCTTAAAAATATAAAATTAACTAAGGTGTACACCAAAGTCAATTCAATAAAATTTTAATTATAATTATTGCTAG